GTTGTCATTGTTTGGCAGGCCCGGGCTGGATTTGAACCTGCCAGCTCTGGCGTATGTGGCTGGCGCCCTAGCTGCTTAAGCTACAGCTGCTTAGCCAGATCTTAAGACAATTATATTTATCTTCTCAGACAAATTCTGGGGAGAATTCCTCCTGCTGATTCTAGAAAGAAACAGGATCAGAAGAGAGCTTAGTTCCTAGGTTTCTTTTCTTTTCTTTTTTTTTGAGACAGAGTCTCACTTTGTCGCCCTTTGTAGAGTGCTGTGGCATCACAGCTCACAGAAACCTCAAACTTTGGGGCTCAAGAGATTCTCTTGCTTCAACCTCCAAGTAGCTGGGACTACAGGCACCAGCTATGTTTTTAGAGACAAGGTCTCGCTCTGGCTCAGGCTGGTCTCAAACGTGAGCTCAGGTGATCTACCCACCTCAGCCTCCCAAGTGTTAGGATCTCAGGCATGAGCCAGCGTGCCCAGCTCTAATTGTTTTTAATTCAGAGCTCTCAACACGCCAGAGCTTCATATTTTGGCGCATCATTTTCTGGGCACCAGCTAGTCAGAGAAGAAAGCCCCTCCTTTATGTATTACTCCCTGGAAATTCTAGCTACCTTGGCTTCTCTCACCCTCTGTCTTTGTCTCCTTAATTCTGCCTTCACCCTCACTGTGCTATAGACTGGAAACTACTTCCAGGCAGCAAACCGAGGCACTTGGAGGACCTGTCTTCATTTGTCCCTTTTCTCAGTGATCACAGTCCTGTGCTGTCTGTTGTCCAGCGTTTGAAAACATTGTTTCATGTTTTGCCCAGTTTTTTTGTTCTTTAAGGCTTGAGGATAAATCTGATCCCTGATATTCTGTCATGGGCCGAAGCAAAATTCTGAGCTCTATTCTAGACAGGTTAAACTTGAAATATTTATTTGCAGGATATCTGTATCAGTATATGTAGTAAATATTAGGAAAAAAGGAACTAGAAATGAAGTTAATGACCAAAGCAGCAGAGGAGGTGATCAATGCTTATTTATTCCTTGTGAAGGACTGGAATGGTGGTTAGAAAGGAGGCTGGGGTCAGGGAATGACAAAGTTTGAGGTTTTGCATGTGGATTATCTCTGTGTTAATGAGGTTCAAAGAATGACATTACTGGTAGGTGATTGTCAAAATATGAAATTTAGGAGGAAGGCGAATTCCAAGGTCTTAGTGTCAGATGGATCATAAATATGGATATTAAGGTCAGAAAGGGGCCAGGCACCATAGCTCACCCCTATAATCCTAGCATCCTGGGAGGTCTAGGTGGCAGGATCCCCAGAGCTCAGAGGTTAGTGACTGGCCTGAGCAACAGGGACACACTGTCTCTACTAAAAATAGAAATGGGTTGTGGTGGGTGCCTGGAGTCCCCGCTACTTGGGAGACTGAGGCAAGAGAGTCATTGAACCCACAAGTATGAGGTTGCTGTGAGCTAGATGCCATGACGCACTAGCCTGAGCAACAGAGTGAGACCCTGTCTCAAAAAAACCCCCAAAAGGCTCGGCGCCTATAGCTCAACCGGCTAAGGCGCCAGCCACGTACACCTAAGGTGGCGGGTTCGAATCCCCAGCCCGGACCCGCCAAACAA